TTCTGAAACATATATTCACAATTTACAGGAACGGCTGTTGACCTATGGCGAGAGTTTAAGCGAGACAATCGAAGTGAACGTGAATCTTGCTATTGATGACTTTGTAAATATTATAATAGACTCCGCGGATTGTATGAAAAAAATTATATTTAAATTGAACTACCTGGAAACGTCAGTCAACAAATCCACAATGCATAAATGCAAAACGAGCAGCGCGCAGAGCCCTAAGGCAGTTTAGAACTAAGCACACTGATTATCACCGCGCAATTTATTGTAGACAGAGGAATGCATATAAGACTTAATTGTTGCAGAAAATATATATCTGATCTCGCTAAAGTACGACTAGATAATCTTTGTAAATCAAAATCTCCTTCAAAATTTTGGAAACAAAAACGATCGCTAGAGAATCGGGAAAAGATAACTTCTCTTATTTCTAAATCTGAATGGCTCGGACACTTCAAAAATCTATTTGCAAATACTGAGATATTCAACAACAATGCCACTACAATTGAAGATGATACCATATACTCCGATTACGACGATAGCGTTGATGAACAAGTGTTAATAACAGAAACGGAAATAAGGGAAGCTATAAGACATTTAAAGAGGGGGAAGGCAGCTGGACCTGATAATGTTATTATAGAAATGTTAAAATCGCAAAATGAAACTATGCCTTTTCTCATAAAATGCTTCCATTATCTTTTTAACAGCGGCACTTTTCCCGCTAGCTGGTCACGTTCTATCATTATTCCACTGCATAAAAGGGAGACCCTAGTAACCCAGATAATTACAGGGGAATATCTCTGATGGGATACAGTGGTGGATTACAAAGACAACTTAACATTCTAGATAATTACACAAAGGAATGGAAACTCTCAGTAAATCTCGACAAAACCAATGTAGTTATTTTTCGGAGGGGCGGTAAAATTTCTCAAAAAGATAAATGGTTTCTTGGTAATCAACTTGTGAAAACAGTTGATTGTTACACGTATCTCGGTGTTCGTTTTTATCATACCTTCAATATGAAAAGAAGTGTTTATGATCTCTCCCTACGCGCTAGAAGAAAGCTCTTTTCCAGTTAACACCGATTATTTACAAGACTGGAATGTTAACACCAGGTCTATTTTTAAACTTTTGATGCCCGATTGCAAATACAACCATTTGTATTATATGGTTCAGAAATATGGGGACTTCAACGTCGACTGTCAGTGTTAGCGAGCAGACGGCACAGGAATCCAGGTGCAGAATGTCACGCGAACATTAAAGTGTATTTGTTGTTCATTAAAGGTTTGGGTATGTCTGGTTATTGAAGGTTTCTGAAGTTCAACACACGTTTGTTGTTATTTTTCAAACGTAAGCTAAGGTTTGTAGACAACAATACGTGCTTTAACATTAAAAAAACTTACTTGGAACTTGATGACTTAAAACGCAGTCAGTTGAGTGATCAGAAGAAAATTGTGTCTCCGAGCGTGTGACGTAACGTATTACTACGCGCATATCTGTGACGTCATAGATATCTGTGCACATTCCACGAAGTTTAGTTTTATGATTTGTCGCAATTGAAATCGCATTTCTTTTTAACTTATAAACTTAGAATGATATTGTATGACAAATAGGTTATCACACGAGTGTCTTTTGGGATGGTTAATGCCCTGCATTAGGAATAAACACTACGTATTTAGTTCGTCAAGGCTCACCAAGGCTTCGCTAAATCAGGGAGACTATATAACGGGGTGTTGAAGATTATCCCTGGCTAAATACAATGTTTATTCCTTATGCAGGATATTAACAATCCCAAACCACTCTCGTGTGATAACCTATATATATTTACGAAAACAACAATACACGACAGTATGATAATCCCCTTCGCGTCAAAAATACACTAATGTAAGTATTTCCTGAGTGCCGTGTACACATGCCGATAGACACAAGGAAAACAACTATACCTCTCAGGTGATTTTCATATTTACTTAAGTTGAAGTTTATGATACTGACATGAACTGTTTCGATCCTTAGTAAGCTGTCAAAGAGTGTAGTATTATCCACATGCCTTTTTCAAAATTCAATCTCGATATATACAGAACTGCAAAAGAAACGTCACACCGACACTCTAATTAACCATCAAAATGGAGGATTGAGTTCAAACTTGACAATCATGGTTAAAACATTTTCGGTGATCACATTTAGAGTTCACACAGCCAAAATCACCAAAAATGGTACCATTAAGATACCCCAAAGTCAGTATCGTGTGTGGCCATCGATGATGGCGTTGCATTGTCTGTACATGGAATGAATCAACCTGTTGATGAAGGCCATAGGCACTTGGGTCCATACTCTGCAAAATGCCTGACCGAGTCCAGCCGCAGTTGTCGGTCTTGGTTGGAGGTCATTCAGTCTTCTTTCAATCTCGTCCCAAAGGTGTTCTATTGGACTTGAATCCGAGCTGATTGCAGGAAATTGTAGGATTTGGATGCCATGTTGTCTTAGGAAGTCCAATGTTGCTCTAGCAGTGTGGGCACGCACGTTGTCTTGCTTGAAGATGTGATTTCTATGACGTCCAAAATATGGTACAACGTGGAGTTTTATGACTTGGTCAATATAGCGAGCAGATGTTATGTCATTTCCTCATCCTGGACCGAGATTCTGGAACACCACAGTGCCAGCTCTCTGGTTCAGACCGATTGCACCCCACACCATGATGCTTGGACCACCCCACCAGTCTCTTTACAAAATACCCTCCTAGGAAAACAGTGCCCCACGCCTTCGCCATATTCTCACTCTGCCATCGGCAGCCGAAACACAATATCGGCTTTCATCAGAAATAGCACAGATCTCCATTGTCGATAACGCTAATTTCGATACTGAGTTGACCATTGCAGTCGGTTTGGGCGGTGACGAGCGGTGAGGACAGGACCACGATATGGTCTGTGACAAAAGAGGTTTCTTTCGCGCAAACATCGACGCACTGTATCGGCATTAATGGGTCTGTTGTGAGTCCCAATGGTCTGGCGTGCTGTTTCTGTCGCTCTGGGGAAGCGATCCTGCAGATGCTTGCGCAACCACAGGGGTTCGAATCAGTGTTTGGACAATAATTTTTAAAATCAAAATCGAAAATCGTGTTTGCGCACAATCTGTGGGTCTTGACGTCGTCTTGTTACTGAAGGGTGCTGGGTGCTGTTAGTGGCCTGATACCGCTCCTGCAGTCGGTAGATTGTCTAACATGAACACTGAAATGATTGGCTAACCTCCGTGCAGTCTGATCAACTTGCAATCGTCCCAAGGCATGGTTTCTCTGATCTCTCTTAAGTCGTGGCATGGCGATTGTGTCAAAACAAGAATGATTTCAGGCGAATTAAGGACTGGTTTTCATTGTTAGGATTGTAAATATATGAGCGTGCATTTTCATTTTCGTGAATGTCATGCGGAACCTTTTACCACGTTTGTCTTTTTATGTGCGTTTGGACGATATGTTTCTTCATCAGAAAACACACTTATGTTGGTAATAACTGTCAATTTGGATTGAAAACATGTTAACAAAACGGTACAATCATAATAAAACACCACCTTGTAAGAGCAAAATTTTGCATTTGGTTTTGAAAGGTGACGTTTCTTTTGAGTTCAGTATATATCGAAGTGACATTCCTTCGCGTAATATACCCCTGTTTGAAGGTGCGTTTATCTTCATTGATTTAGTCAAACATCCTACACGAAGGAAAATAGTTCTGAAAATATAGACAGACAGGCAGATTTTACTTCAGTATAAGGCCACTGGCCAAAAATACATTTATACACATGAAATAGGTGCATGCTTTAATTATGATTAATTTGTAATAAGGATTGTAACGTTAGAAGAAAATAACACAATTTCTGCGAAGTATTTTTTTCCAGTATATTGTAGCAGAGCTTTTAGAATAACATATGTTATATTGGGGATTACACTTTCTCAGTAAAGTACAGATTCTTTAGTACTTTTGTTGGCCGTGGGAGCCGTGCCAATTTACACTGATCAGAGGGGTGCACAAATTCCGTGGTCTAGACTACCAGTTGTCCGACTTCCATTTTTTGTGGAAGTTTCGGTGGCTGAGCGGGTTAGACGGCTGACTCTGTGTGCTGGCGATTAGGTGCCAGATTCTGAGAGTGTGGGCTCTATTCCCGGATTGGACTCAACACAACAAAAGCACTAGTATCTGTACTTTACTGGGAAAGTGTAATTCCGAATATAACATATGTTAATTTGACCACTTTCTAAATGAGATTGTGCATTCAGAGCCTTTAGTATGTTCATCGTTGGATTGTAAACAGAATGGTTCTGAAAAAAAGGCCCCGTGTATCCCCGATCATTCTGTCTGACACCGCTGCACCTTACTAAATTAACAAGCAACAGCTTACACACTGTTGTACAACACTGCCTCTTAACAAAGTACGGTGTACAACCTTTCACAAAAGGGGCGGTGGGGTAGCCTTGTGGTTAAAGCTTTCGCTCATCACGCCGAAAACCCGGGTTTCTTTTTCCAGTGGTTGATGTTGGTGTGTAGAATCTTGGTTTGTTGCCAGGAAATGTGGTGGTCGGGATTTTTGATGAGGTGTTCCGAAAGGGCAGATTTCATGTCAGATTTTTCTACAGCGGTCTTGTGTTCTTTTATCCTGGTGGCTATGGGGCGTGATGTCTCTCCTATGTATTTGTCTCCGTAGTTGCATGCTATTTCGTACACACATTCCCCCCATGGGTACAATGTGTAAAGCCCATTTCTCGACGTGATATTGCTAGAATATTGCTAAAAGCGGCGTAAAACCAAACTCACTCACTCACCTTTCACAAAATGGCGACTTTCTCTGTGGTGATTCAGGGATTTACATTTATAATCAGGTCATATTTGTGAACAGAATTAATCCTGCAATCTGCCTACTGTTATTGTAATAATGTTCACTGGAGCCGAGATACTGTTGATTTGCAGACTCATACTGGACCAACCGAGCGTGATTGTGTGTGAGTCACTGTATCTCGTGGATGTATATTTATCATTCTGTGGAATATAATACTATTAGGAACAATGTTTGATCGGCGTCGCTTTGAATTCAGAAGAGTTCACCATCTTTACAGTCTCCTGCAAAGCTGTTATAAGGTAAACCTGCATCCCTAAATCATCAGAAAATTTATGTTTTCGATTATTCTCACGAGTGCTTTAAGGTTGGGAGAACAAGGGTGACATCATGTTACGAGTTACAAGTAGATCAATAGAGAGATGTGAGCAATGGCTACAGAACGTCCCGTGTTAGAAGGTGAGGTGAGGAGAGGTGAATTTGGGTTAATGAAGCCAATGTTAACACCATGATAGGAAGCCAATTAGATAGGATTAATGTACAAAGATAACAATGTAAGGCTGAAACCAAGAGATTGTAGGACAATAGAATATACACTGGGAAGGTAAATGCCTTGGTCTTGGTTAATGGCTGGCTTCTTTCTCTGGATCTCAATGCTTTCTTCTTCCAGTGGTTGATGTTGGTGTGTAGAATCTTGGTTTATTGCCAGGAAATGTGGTGGTCGGGATGTTGATGAGGTGTTCCGAAAGGGCAGATTTCATGTCAGATGTTTATACAGATGGCTTATGTTCTTTATCCTGGTGACTATGGGCGTGATGTCTCTGCTATGTATTTGTCTCCGTAGTTGCATGCTATTTCGTACACACATCCTCTAGGGTTTGGGGTGGGTTCAGTGGGACCCCTATCCCACTAATTAGCATGTATCATGTTCTTTAGTGCTCTGTCTGAGGTGAAGGTGACGTCTATTTTGGCTGTTTTGGTGAGTAGTCTGCTGATCTGGTGACTTATGGGACCTAGGTATGGGATACTGACGAGGATTGGTGATGGGTCTGGTTTGGACTTGGACTCAGGGTCTTTTTGCTGGGAGGCCAGGGTTTTGCGTATGGTCTTCTCTACTAACTGTTTAGGGTATCCGTTGAGGGCAATGAAAGTGTGCTTGAGGTGATGGATTTCTTGGCTGAGGCTATGGCTCGTCGGGTGAGGGTGGCAATGATGGCTTGTTTGATCTGAGGGTGGCAATGGTGGCTTGTTTGATCTGAGGGTGGCAATGATGGCTTGTTTGATCTGAGGGTGGCAATGATGGCTTGTTTGATCTGAGGGTGGCAATGATGGCTTGTTTGATCTGAGGGTCGTGATTTGACAGGTAGAGAATGTACTAAATGTAATGGATTTCTACCATAGTGCTCAACGGCGCTGAAATCACAATCTGATTATTATTACCCCGAATATCCCTAGCTGCATGTGAGGCGCTAGAAGGTTAATAGTCATATGACTTATCCCACCGGGTACCCATTTTCTGCCTTGTGAACAGAGGCAATTTCACCAAACTCAAGTGCCTAAGGTGAGACCACATGCATTACATGTATAATATGGTCTGAATCTTGTGGCACTGACTGGATTATTGATCGTCCTGTGTTTCAGACTCGCTGATGTGAACATGGAGATGTCGACGTGGAGGAAGTTGGGGTTGACGGGGCTGCTGGTGTACACTGCGGCACTCGAGGTACGTGAGTAAATGTGGGATTTTACGCCAATTTCAGCAATAATCAAGCAACATTACGGCGGGGGACACAGGAATTGGTTTCTCACATTGAACCCAAGAGGGGAATCAAACCCGGCCCTTCGTGACGAGGTAACGATTTGACCACTATGCTACCCCATCTCTCCCTTAAGGTTTATTCCTCGTGTTGGAATTCCAGGTGAGAGCAGGTGCCCGGCAACCCCTTGGTGACAACCAACTGGAACTCTGTGGTCCAGGTGTATTGATCTACTCAGACTTGTTTTGTGTGGGAGCTACGTTGGCTGAGTGGGTTAGATCGCTGACATTGTGTGCTGGCGATCACGTCCCTGCCTCTGAGAGTGTGGTTTCGAATCCCGGATCGGATCGACCTTACGAAAGTGCGAGAATCTGTACTTGACAGAGAAAGTGTAATCCAAAGTATAGCATATGTCACATATGACCACTGTCAAAACGCATTTGTTATAGAATAAACTTTGCTTGTAATAAGAGGCGACTAACGGGATCAGACTTGATGACTTGGTTCACATCGCATCCCAGTTGCGTAGATCGATGCGCATGCTATTTTGTCTCGATTATTTAAAGACCGCCGCCATATAGCTGGAATATTGCAGAGTGCGGCGTTAAAAAACAAACCAAACCAAATCATATAAACGTACACTTTGTTAAATACATACATCGTGCATGTTGTATCGATTATACTCTTTGTCTGAGTAATGTTAATCAGACGCACATGGATTGAGTTGATTATATTTCCACGCTCTGTACACGTGGATCCAGTTTTTGTGGAAGCATGTCATGGCGTCCATCATGCCGTGGTCGTGAGTGTCACCCACACTGTGAATTGTATGATGCTGGCAAGAGCTAGGAATCTGGTGCTCCAAAGGACAGAAGCACTGTGCCAAAACCCTGGTGACCACAGCTTTGCTGAGGCGGGAGTGACAAAAGAAGAAGGATTATTATTTTAACGACAATCGTCGTCTATTTGAGCTTCTGGGCAGTGGGTAGCCTGGTGGTTAAAGCGTTCGCTCGTCACGCCGAAGGCCCGGGTTCGATTCCCACATGGGTACAATGTGTGAAGCCCATTTCTGGTGTCCCCGTCGTAACATTGCCGGAATATTGCTAAAAATGGCATAAGACCAGACTCACTCACTCTTTCATTGTGAAAAGAATACTGTTATGAATTTTCCATGAACGTACAATTGTCTATGAATATATGTAAGGTCATGACACAGAGACGGATGGATGGTTTTACGTGAATTAGGATATTGAAACAGTGAAGAACACCAGATGTTGCACATGCAATTTAAATATACTCAATTCATGTACACTCATCCATGTAGTGTATGTAGTACATACTATGTACATGAGGTGTTTTTAGATTAAACCATTTGTTATATGTAGTTTATGCGTAACAGCACCGCTCCAGCTTTACGACAACCGGTAAAGTCTCGCGAGGCTCTACTTTCGGTACTAAGCTGGTTCCCGGCTCTCATTGCGCGCGCTAGCTTGCATAAGTACCAGCTATATGGCAGCGGTCTGTAAATAATCCAGTCTGGACCAGATAATCCAGTGATCAACAGCATGAGTATCGATCAACGCAACTGGGATACGATGACATGTGTGAACCACGCCAGCGAGCCTTACCACCCGAACCCGTTAGTCGCCTCTTAGGGCAAGCATGGGTTACTGAAGTGCAATTCTAACCCGGATCTTCGCGGGTTCACAGTGTAACAGGTTCACATGATAACGTTGCTATGGTTACCTTGGTCATGGAACCCTCCCGTCGAACTGCCAGGAGAGGTTATATAGTGCACTAGAAGAAGGTTTAATTTACATTATTGCCATGCTTTTAAATGCGTATTTGTCGTTAAACACAATATTCCTTCAATGCAATTGCAGTCTTTATTTTATCGTGTCTGCAACAAGACGCACAGTTATGAGTGAGTGAGTTTAACGCCGGATTTAGCAATATTCCAGCAATATCACGGCGGGGGACACCAGAAATGAGCTTCACACAATGTACCCATGTGGGGATTCGAACCCGGGTCTTTGGCGTGACGAGCGAACGCTTCAACCACTAGGCTACCCCACCGACCCCACAGTTATGAAAATCATGAACATCTGTCAACTCATGCGATCCTTACGTGCATGAATTAGTTGATCATTTCTAACAAACATAATGTGCTGAAGAGTTAGTGAGTGAGTGAGTGAGTGAGTGAGTGAGTGAGTGGGCGAGCGAGCTAGCTTTTACGCCGCTTTTAGGAATATTCCAGCAATATCACGGCGGGGAACACCAGAAATTGGCTTCACACATTGTACCCATATGGGGAATCGAACCCGGGTCTTCAGCGTGAGTCATTAGGGTACCCCACTGCCCCTTTTACATTGTAAAGACAGAAGTGAGAAATATGCCCCCTGAAACTAGTCAGATTTGATAAGCGGTTATGTCACCATACAGGTTGTACACGTCAGTAGCTGATGAGACTAATGTCCTGGTGCCAGTCTCACGGTTATGTCACCATACAGGTTGTACACGTCAGTACCTGATGAGACTAATGTCCTGGTGCCAGTCTCACGGTTATGTCACCATACAGGTTGTACACACCAGTAGCTGATGAGACTAATGTCCTGGTGCCAGTCTCACGGTTATGTCACCATACAGGTTGTACACGTCAGTAGCTGATGAGACTAATGTCCTGGTGCCAGTCTCACGGTTATGTCACCATACAGGTTGTACACACCAGTAGCTGATGAGACTAATGTCCTGGTGCCAGTCTCACGGTTATGTCACCATACAGGTTGTACACGTCAGTACCTGATGAGACTAATGTCCTGGTGCCAGTCTCACGGTTATGTCACCATACAGGTTGTACACACCAGTAGCTGATGAGACTAATGTCCTGGTGCCAGTCTCACGGTTATATCGCCATACAGGTTGTACACACCAGTAGCTGATGAGACTAATGTCCTGGTGCCAGTCTCACGGTTATATCACCATACAGGTTGTACACACCAGTAGCTGATGAGACTAATGTCCTGGTGCCAGTCTCACGGTTATATCACCATACAGGTTGTACACGTCAGTAGCTGATGAGACTAATGTCCTGGTGCCAGTCTCACGGTTATGTCACCATACAGGTTGTACACGTCAGTAGCTGATGAGACTAATGTCCTGGTGCCAGTCTCACGGTTATATCACCATACAGGTTGTACACGTCAGTAGCTGATGAGACTAATGTCCTGGTGCCAGTCTCACGGTTATATCACCATACAGGTTGTACACGTCAGTAGCTGATGAGACTAATGTCCTGGTGCCAGTCTCACGGTTATGTCACCATACAGGTTGTACACGTCAGTAGCTGATGAGACTAATGTCCTGGTGCCAGTCTCACGGTTATATCACCATACAGGTTGTACACGTCAGTAGCTGATGAGACTAATGTCCTGGTGCCAGTCTCACGGTTATATCACCATACAGGTTGTACACGGTTATAATCACCATACAGGTTGTACACACCAGTAGCTGATGAGACTAATGTCCTGGTGCCAGTCTCACGGTTATATCACCATACAGGTTGTACACACCAGTAGCTGATGAGACTAATGTCCTGGTGCCAGTCTCACGGTTATATCACCCATACAGGTTGTACACGTCAGTAGCTGATGAGACTAATGTCCTGGTGCCAGTCTCACGGTTATATCACCATACAGGTTGTACACGTCAGTAGCTGATGAGACTAATGTCCTGGTGCCAGTCTCACGGTTATGTCACCATACAGGTTGTACACGTCAGTAGCTGATGAGACTAATGTCCTGGTGCCAGTCTCACGGTTATATCACCATACAGGTTGTACACGTCAGTAGCTGATGAGACTAATGTCCTGGTGCCAGTCTCACGGTTATATCACCATACAGGTTGTACACGTCCAGTAGCTGATGAGACTAATGTCCTGGTGCCAGTCTCACGGTTATGTCACCATACAGGTTGTACACGTCAGTAGCTGATGAGACTAATGTCCTGGTGCCAGTCTCACGGTTATATCACCATACAGGTTGTACACGTCAGTAGCTGATGAGACTAATGTCCTGGTGCCAGTCTCACGGTTATATCACCATACAGGTTGTACACGTCAGTAGCTGATGAGACTAATGTCCTGGTGCCAGTCTCACGGTTATGTCACCATACAGGTTGTACACACCAGTAGCTGATGAGACTAATGTCCTGGTGCCAGTCTCACGGTTATATCACCATACAGGTTGTACACGTCAGTAGCTGATGAGACTAATGTCCTGGTGCCAGTCTCACGGTTATATCGCCATACAGGTTGTACACGTCAGTAGCTGATGAGACTAATGTCCTGGTGCCAGTCTCACGGTTATATCACCATACAGGTTGTACACGTCAGTAGCTGATGAGACTAATGTCCTGGTGCCAGTCTCACGGTTATGTCACCATACAGGTTGTACACGTCAGTAGCTGATGAGACTAATGTCCTGGTGCCAGTCTCACGGTTATATCGCCATACAGGTTGTACACGTCCAGTAGCTGATGAGACTAATGTCCTGGTGCCAGTCTCACGGTTATATCGCCATACAGGTTGTACACGTCAGTAGCTGATGAGACTAATGTGGTGCCTGGTGCCAGTGTACACGTCACGGTTGTCCTGGTGCCTTATATCAGGTTGTACACGTCAGTAGCTGATGAGACTAATGTCCTGGTGCCAGTCTCACGGTTATATCACCATACAGGTTGTACACGTCAGTAGCTGATGAGACTAATGTCCTGGTGCCAGTCTCACGGTTATATCACCATACAGGTTGTACATCAATTCAGTAGCGTCAGTAGCTGATGAGACTAATGTCCTGGTGCCAGTCTCACGGTTATGTCACCATACAGGTTGTACACACCAGTAGCTGATGAGACTAATGTCCTGGTGCCAGTCTCACGGTTATATCACCATACAGGTTGTACACGTCAGTAG